GCCCCCCCCTCTTTATCCCATGCCTCTGTAGGGATGGGGAGGCCCAGGGGAATGAAACTTTAACTGGGATTTATATTCATAAGAGAAAGACACCCCCGCCCCCCCCAACAAAGGTCTTATTTGGTGGTATTAAAGGAGCATATTCTAAGTGTCCCCCAAATCTAATGCCCCATCTCTCTAGAACTGGTAGAGGGAAGTCACCTGATGCCTATTGCCAACCCCCATCTGCCAAGATGGAGAGATGGGCATTTGACCTTGCAGGAGGCATCTTCCGTTCTTCTCTTTTCCTCTCCTTCCATCAAGGACATGTGACTCATGCTGATGGTCAGATACATCTTGTTCTCCACGATGGGGGCAGAAAGAAGCATGAAGAACAGGGCCAGAGGAGGTGGGGCTGGCACAGGTGCTACATGGGAGAGGGGAGTCGAGTGCCCCTGCCCACTCCTGTCGAGACACCTCGTCTCACTTTCAGTCTGGGAATGAGAGTAAGATGCTACACACAGCCTCACCATCACCTTCCCAAGAGGGCGCCGCAGACCTGTGCCCCTTCCACCAGCAAGGCCACGTGGGAGAACCGTGTTCTGGGGAAGAACAAGCCTTCCAGGTTAGTGCTCTCCAGCCTGGGCTTTGCTTTAGCTCAGTAATGTTTGCTTCAGACCCATCACTGCTGGCTCTACTTAAAGTGATAATGTTGCTGAAGGTTCTTTCCTCTCCTCTCCTGCCATCCTCTAGGCTCTTGCCTCAAGCCAAGAGGTCTGCTGGTGAGGTGTGGATGGGGTGTGGACAGGAGATTCTCAGCTCCTTGGCTTCAGACAACTGTCCAGCTGGGAGGCAGAGGGGAACTTGTACTCGGAAGCCTGTGACTCCTTTAAGCCTCACATCTCTTCACCACTACTCTGGTGCCCTGGTTATCTGTCCCACAGCGAGAGGTATTTTATGTCCATAAAGTGCCCGTGGTAAGTGCTCAGAATTCATCTCTTGGCTGTGGCGGGTGCTGCTATTTCTCATTCCATCGAGGGGAAGAAACTGAGGCACAGTGAGTCAAGAGGAGGGTGGGTCAGGATTTTAGGAGGAATAAATAGGCCCAGCTAGTGACTTGGAGAGTCAGCCAGTCTCTGCCTCCTTCCAAACCAGGGAGTCTCCATCCTTCCCAACCTCTGTTCTAACTGGCCTTGTCAGATGCTTTTCCCCATTGTATTGTCCCCTCCCTGTTGCCAGGTACTGCTAGATTCCAAAATAAAAGATAAAAAATAATTATAGACACTCTGTTCCCTTGTTCTCCCACCCCCCTTCCACCCTGAGCTTTGGGGCTGGGGAACTAAAATGTCCCCCCTCCAGAATTCCTTCCCCCGCGGTCTGCCGGCTCTATTCCCTGGCCCAGTGCAGTGATTTGGATTTAGACGCCCTCTAACCTTCAGCCTCCTCCCCACTCTGTGTGCCCCCTCCTAGCCCTGCCCAGACCTCGTGACTCTGGGGCCTTGCTACTCTCCTTTTTATTGACCTGAAGGGAGAGGCCGGGAGCAGGGGCATTCCACAGGCTCTTTGGTCTCCCTCTTGGCTGGGGGGAATGTGGGCATAAGTGGGCCACTCCTCTGGCTACAGAATACTCTGAGGGTCGGCTCGAGGCTTGGTGTCGTGGCTCTCATGCAGACACTGGAGGGCGAGGGCGCGCCGCTCCATCTCCTCAGCTCCTAAGCCCGACCTCTTGACTGTCGTGGCTCCACTGGAATTCAGTTCAACCCGTTGGGCTCAGGAAGGTTAAACGGGGGCGAGTATGGGTTGGAAACGTCCATGGTCGGCCCTCTTGCCCTCTACTCCCTTTCGGACCCCGGAGGCTTTACACAAGTGCTTACGTAGGTGGCTACTGCGGAAGAACAGGGTGTGGGAGAGAAGGGGCGAAGGGAGCGCAGTGGGCAGGGGCCCTTCGAGTGCGGTAAAGCCAAATTCCCAAAAATGAAAAGTCACAATAAATAAATAAATAAAATCCACAAATCCTCACTTCCCTGCCCTCACTCCTGTCCCTGGCCGCGGCTGCAGGAAGAAAGGGAAGAAGCTAAGAAGGGATTTTCGATTTCCTCGCCTACTGAGAGTGGCAGTCGGGGGTCTCCCCCCACCCTACCACGCACGTCCCCTTGCCAGCTGAGGGAAGGTATGGGGCGTCCTCTCACTCCATTTCCATCTCCTCCTCGTCTCTCTGCCTCGTCTCGGCCTCGTGCCTCTCTAGCCCTTCGCCGTCTCGCGGTTGCTCTTCTTCCCCGTCTCTGTCCCTCTGCTCTACCTGTCTCTGTCCCTCTGCCTTCTTGCCAGACCTTCTCACCTGCATACCTCAAAAACTTCCCACCTGACCATGCTCCCTCCTCCTTCCCCTTTCCCCCAGAGCCTTCACCCCTCACCCCCACCTGCCTCCCTCTGTTGTATTGCACACTGCTTGGGCAGGGAATAAGGTGTGATGTTCATGGGGAGAGGCGGAGGGAGCTCTAGGGCCTTTTGGGGGCTGGGGGTCAAGGCTGGGGGTCTAGGGGTAGGGTCTGTGGGGGAAGCATCCTCTGTCCCCCACCTTAGGAGCAGCCACAGCGATCCACCACCATGCCAGGGATCTTGCCGTAGATAATCTGCTGCTTGTCATTGAAGTAGAGCATGTTGATTGGGGACATCTTGGTGGGGGTACAGCAGGGCCCCGCAGAGCCTCTCGGGTTAGCCTGCTGCACCAAGTGGGTGTGCGGGTACTTCTGCATGAACATGTACTCGCACTGGCCGGAGCAGTAGTTGGCTTTGTAGCGTTTGGGCGCGATGATCCAGTCCCAGCCAAAAGCCTCGAAGTCCACTGTGAGCGGGTAGCGGCAGCAGCGGGACTCGCTGGAGTGCTCGTCACAGTCCAGGCCCAGGTTCCGCCGGGACCGCTTGGTGTTCTCCAGGACTCGCAGCTCCATGAAAGGATGCTGAGGGAAGGAGAAGCGCGGAAGATGAGAGGGCCCCGAACAGCTGTCCCTGCTGTCCCCTCGGCGGGGCCATCGGACACGGCCCCCGCCTTAGCCCACCCTACGCCTCCTTTTCTTACCAGCTAGCCAGTCCTTCCCGAATGCTCCCTCCACTGGCCACCTGACCCTCCTCCGCCCTTGGCCCTAGCTCAGCAACAGCCCACTTTTAGGTTCCCATGGCTCTTCACCCCAAATCCAGTTTCCAGCTGTTGCCTGGCTCCCCTCTCTGGAAAATAATAAATAGCCGCCACCCCCTCTTCTCCAAGTCCTCTAGAACCGGCTCCTGGCCCCAGAAATCAGTGCTGGTCCCTAAGCCCCTCTACATTCCTGTTCTACCTTTTCCAGCACCCCACCTCAGAGCCCGGCTGCCCAGGCCTGCCGCCCTCCCGGGCTCCCCGCTCACCAGCCCCTCCGCTCCCGGCCCCAGGGAGGTGACGGCCAGGTCTGTGCCGCTGGGGTCGAAGGCGTTGATCTCGATGCCCCAGTTGCTCTGTGGCTGGCGGAACCAGCTGTGTAGCACTTGCTTGAAGTCGATGCTCTGCCAGTGGCCGGAGCGCGAGTGCAGCTCGATCTTGAGTGACCGGATGCGGATGTGACGCCGGCCTCCGCCCCCTCCCCCTGCGGTCCCCTCCCCACTGAGGGGTTTCAGTCGCAAGATCTGCAGGTAGACTGTGGCCGGGCGGGGCACAGGCCGCAGGTACACCCACAGCTGGGCTTTCAGCACCTTTGTGAACATCACCTTGGGACTGAAGTGGAAGTGGCAGCAGAGGGGGCTGCCGTCTGTCTGCACCGCAGGGTCCGCTGGGGAGAGAGAAGGGGACACGGATCAGCCCAGGGTGTGCGGAGGGGGGGCAGCCCTGCGTGGCACTGGCAGTTTGCAGTCCTCAGCCCGAGTTTTCTAATTCTTTATTTTTATTTTAAACATTTTTTACATCATTTTTCATTTTGGCACAATGCGTGCATTTTCACCCTGGCGATAGTCCCCGTACAGTTCGCACCCCCTTGATTTCATTCTTTACCCGCCCACGCCTGTCTTGGTGACCAGCCTGTCACTGGGCCCCAGAACAGTGCCTCGGCGCTCCCCCGGCCTGACCAGTGCGCACCCCGTCCGCACGTCCTTGTGCTTGGACTCCCGCCTCCCGGGCGTGGCGAGGGAAGTCTGCCTGCGGCCTTCCTTTCCTGCGACTTTCCCCAGCAGGTGGGCTCCAGCTCTTTCTGAATTTTTGAGGCTCCATCATCGAGGTCAAACATCAGACCACACCTGCTGTCCTCAGGTCACCTCGCCCCATGTCTGCCCTGTTTTGTCTGGTGGTCAGGTGGAGCCTGGGACAACGCCCGCCACCCCCCAAAACACACACACACCCCAGACTGCTTCAGAGCGTGTTAGCCGAGGGGCCCGAGAGGAGCCACGAAGTAACCAGAACCGCGATCGAGGCTTCCTGCCTCATCCCCACGACGAAGAACACACGCAGCAGAAGGGAACTGTCCAGACACTACCTGTGCATCTGACTCCCCAGTCCCTTGACCCTGAGAACAAGTTTTCTCAGCTGCTTCCTCCTCCTGGTTTTTATGCCTGGGCGGTCAAGGGAGGGACACGCTACCTCCACGCTGTTTCCTCACTTACCCAAAGCAGTGAGCGGAAGGACACCTGAGCAGCTCAGCTCTGATCAGGCTCCTGCTCCCCTCCGAGCGCCCTTTGGTCTCTCCGTCCAGGGCCAGCAAATCCTCACAAAAGTTTAACATCCCCAAGTTGTATCTTGGCACTTTGCCTTTGTTCTGGACCATAAATTGACCCTTCTTGGGGCTAAAGGATGATTAGCCTTAGCCTCCATTTCAGCTGCTCTCCGTTCCCCTTTCTGACCTGTGCAATCAGTGGGCAATGCCCTGAACCATGTTTCCGCTGGACAGGAATATCCATTCTCACTCTAGATAGAGGAGGAGTCGGGAGTGAAGCTTCCAGAGCCATGGAAGTGTGACCAGAAGCCCAGACCCCGCTGGGCTGACACTCCAGGTGTGGAGTTCTGCACAATCACCATGGCGGCCTTAGCACCAGCTGTCTCCCATGAGCAATCCCTCACCTACCCCGGGGGGACCGGGGACCCTCATGTTAACACGGGGAGGAAAGGCCTATGACCTTCGTATATTTGGGACAAGCGGCATGAAGTTCCTCTGCAGTTTCCTTTCTCTTGGCTCTTGGTACTGGAGTCCCGCCAGTTACCCTCCTGCGGGAGCAGCAGTGACAGTGCCCCCGGGTAGGATTCAGCAGTGGAGATTCAGAGATTAGATTAGCCAGGGGGGCAGGGGAGCGGCTGGTGAGAGGAGTGACGCCACAGCAGCCATCCTAAGAGCTTACCATGCGCAGCCATCCTAACAGCTTACCACGCCTCTGCCTCCTCTTGGACGTGGGGCTTGCTCTAGCTTCCTGCCAGTCTTAGGCGTAATTGGGTACTAATCTCCTTGAGGGTGGACACTTGTGTCTGTTTTGCTCACCATTGTAGTCTTAGTGCCTCCATGGCACCGGCTTCTCAGTATATACGCGCTGAAGGCCGTCCCTGAACTCGCAATCCTAAATTACACGGGCCAACCTCTGAAAGTTGGTCCTGGCATCTAAGCATTGTTCCTTGATGACAATTCAAGTGGGTTTCGTCACTTCCTGACCCCTCATTAACCGGTTTCTGACCTTACTCGCTAAGGGTGTCATCACCACGTCAGGGGTGCAGCTAGTAATCCTTGCTTCCTGGGGGTGCGGATCCTTGAAGAAAGCGCTGAAAGCAGTTGCTTCTCAATCAGGGTTGGTTTGTTGCTGGTTTCTAGGCTCTAAACCACACTCCCCTGGTGGCCAAGTCACCCAGTGCTTAGAGTTGGGGAACCCAGGGCGCCATCCCTCCAAGTCCTGGTTCCTTCAGGCAGAGTCCCGACCCTGCCCGAGGGGGTCTCATGTGGAGACAGTGGAGCAATGGAGCAAGAAAGGGGGGAGACCGCTGAGGATGAGGGAGGTGAGAGAGGACACTGTCAGGAGGAAGGCAGGTTAGAAGAGAAAGAAATGGGGGCGAGAAAGAAGAGAACGGGCAAGATCACGGTAGGGGGAGAAGAAATAAGTTCGGGGGCTGGAGAAGGGGCACGCAAAGGGCGGGGGGAGGTTAGGGCGCTGAAGGGGGAGCTGGCGAAGCCCCGTGGGACGGCGAGAGAGGAGAGAAGGTGCAGAGGGAGGAACAAAGGAGAGGCAGGTAGAGCGCGGAGGGAAAACAAGGGGCTGCAGAGTCCCCAACACGGCAGAGGCCCGCTCCCCGGGGAGGGCCGGGCCACATCTGTGTTGGATGGATCGGGTTGGCGGCGGGCGGCAGGTCAGGGTTAGTGGGCGGCGCTGGTCTGCGGAGAGGTCATTGCACTGTTTTCAGCGGAGGCCCAACCCCCTCCCTGCTCGCACCTCCCCCTCCGCCCCCTCCCCAAACACGCTCCCCTCGGGCTCGCGGTGGGGCCGCGGCCGGGGCCTCTCGGGGCGGGCGGAGCGGGAGGCCGGGGGCTGGGCCCGGCTCCCAGCAGGGCCGGGGGCCGAGCTCGGGATGGAGGCCGGGGTGGGGGAGCCGCGGGCGGGGGAGCCGGGGCGGGCGCGGCCGGCGGGTGGGGGCGGGGGTCCGGCCGCGGGCGGGGGCGGGGCGGGGGGAGGGGCGCGAGGCTTCTCCGCTGACGCGCGCCTCCCCCGATTAGCCGAGCACAAGTCTCTTATTAAAGCGGGTCCCTGGGGATTAGACTATAAAAGTCTCTTTTTCCTCTTCCCCTCTCCCCTCCCCGCGCTCCCCGCCGCCCCCTCCCGCTCTCGGGAGCTCGGCTCGGCTCTTAAAGGGGCCGCGCCGCACCTGGCCCGAGCCCCGGCTCCTCGGCTCCCAGTCGTGGGGGGCGAGGGACCGAAGTTGGGGTGGAACCCCCCCCGCTGACGTCCGCCCCTGCCGCCCCGCCAGCCCGCCCCACGCTTCCACTCCTCGCGCGCGGGGTCCCGTCCGTCCTGCACCCCTCTCGGGGCGCCCTCGGGGCGCGGGTCCTGGGGCGCAGGGGCGCGGGGAGCCGCAGCGCCAGCTCCCGCTCGGGAGTCCTCTCGCTCCGCCCGCGGGCCCGGCCGCCGGTCCCCTCCGGGTCGCCGCCGTCCAGCAACTCGCAGCATTCCTGCGCAGCCGGTCCCGCACGCCCGCCCCGCCGCGGCCGGCCTCGGTCCACCCTCCGCGGGCAACGGGGGCCGGCCCGAGCCCGGCCTCGCACGCCCCCTGCAAGTCGGTGCCTCGCCCTCGGGCGCCCCTTCCGCAGCCCCGACCCCCCGGGCTGCGCTGGGGCCGCGCAGTCGCCGGCGCTGCACGAGGCGCTCACCCTCCCGGGCGCACCTGGGCGCCCGGCCTCTCCGGGGGGCAGGTCCCGGACGCCCCTCGTCCCCGGCTTTTTATGACCCGTTTGCCCATAAACCAGCCTCCCCCTCTTCTGCTCAGAGCCATAAAACCTCACAGTGCGCGCAGGGAGTGTGTGGGGGGTACTTGCCAAGCCCCAGGGAATGGGAACGCGTCTGGGCTCCAACTTGGACAAGTTGGGGGAGAGGGCGGACCTCGTGGGGGAGGGGAGAGGGGGTCATCAGACCCTCGGGAGGACTGGGCGCGGGGAGAGTTTTGGGGGCGGGGTACTGGCCTGGATTTTCCGGGCCATAAAATTTCAAAGCCGCTCCAGTCCATGAACATGTTCATCTTCCGCTCGGCCGGGGGCCGGGGTGCCCGGGCTCCCCTCCCGCCCCGTCGGTTTCTTTCTTTTTCTCCCAGGTCCTCCCGTCCCTCCGGCCCGGGGCGGCGCGCGGAGTGGACGCGCCGACGGATGCCCTTAGCCCGGCGCGCGGGGCCGGCTCCTCTGACCTCGGGCTGCGCCCCGAAGACAGCTTTCGGGGCCCTGGGGCCCCGGGTGTCACCGGGGCCGGGGGTCGACAAGCTGCCAGCTGGGCTGCCCGGCCGGGTCCCCGGCCCCGGGGCTGGCTCCCGGGAGGGGAGGGGCCCCTGGGCGGCCCGGCGGGCGCGCTCGCGCGGGGGGACCGGCTGGGGCGCGGGGGCCGGGCCCGCGGGCGGCGGGGACGCCCGGGGTCCGGAGCCCCCGGCCCGTCGTGCGCTCGCCCCGCGGCCCTTCGGGGCTGACCGCCGCCCCCTCTGCGCGCCCCGCGCCCCCGAGCGCCCCCTCCGCGCGGCCCGAGCGCCGGGCGCGCCCAGCGACGTCTCCGCTCGCCCCGCCGGCCCGCGAGCCCCAACTCCGCGCGCCCGCAAAGTTCCCGGGCGGCCCCGCGCGCCCGGCCCGCACTCACTCTCCTGGGCCATGCTGATGACCGTCTCGGTGGTGGCGTGGTACTCGTCCTCCTCCAGGAAGTCCTCGGGCTGCAGCGCGTCGCCCTGGAAGTCGTGCAGGTCCAGGATCTGCTGCAGCGGCGGCGCCTTGGGCAGCAGCTGCTTCACCACCTCGCGGCTGATGTTGGGCGCCTCCTTGAGCCGCAGTTTGCTCAGGATCTGCGCCTTGATGCTCTCCAGGCGCAGCTCGCGGCTGTGCTGCCGCCACACGCACACGGGGCAGCCGGCGGGCTCGGGCGCCGCGGACGGGGCCGGCCGGCGCGCGCGCTCCCCCCCGGCGCCCGCCGCGGGGCCCTCGGCCGCCCCCCCCCGGGGCCGCAGCTCCAGGGCGAGGAGCAGGAAGCCCAGCAGCCGCGGGGCCGCGAGCACCATGCTGGAGGGGAGGGGAGGAGACTGGGGCGGGACGCCGGGGTCCCGGGGGAGGGGCGGGGAGGGCGCGAGGGGGCGGCCCGCCCGGGGGGGCCGCGGGGGCCGGGGCGGCGGCGCGCGGGCGGGGCGGGCGGCGGCCGGGGCGGGCGGCTGGGGGGGCCCGAGCCCGGGCCGGGCCCTTTATAGCCCCGGCCCCCGTGTCGTCAGCGGCCGCGATTGGCTGCGGAGCCAACAAAAGAGGCAGCGCTGTCATCCGAGGCGAGAGCGGCCGCCGCAGCGCCGCGGCGGGAGAGGGCGGGCGCCGGCGAGGTGGGGAGACGGGCGCGCGCTCGGCGAGGCGGGAAGCGCCGCGAAAGTCAAAGTCGGGGGGCCGGTCGGGGGCGCGGCGGCCGGGAGGCGAGGCCGCGAGGGGGCCCCGGGGGAGGCCCGGGGGCGCCGCCGCGCGGACGGAGCCGCCCCGAGACGGCGGGGCCGGGGCCGGGGGCGGGGGGCGGGGGGCAGCGCCCGGCGGGCGGGGTGCCAGGCGGAGGGACCGGGAGACCGAGGCCAGGGCGCCGGCACGGGGGCGCCCAGAGGGGTGGGGGCCGCGGCACTGGAGGTGCCGGGGCCCAGCTCCGCGAGGGCCTGGGGAGGCCGGGCCCGGGCAGACGCCCCCGGGGTGGGGGCAGAGTCAGCCCGACCCGAGCCGGCCCGGCGGGCGCGCGGGACGCCCGAGGGGGCGGAGGGAGAGAATCTGAGCCGGAGGCTCCGGGAGGGCGCCGGGGGCGCGGACAATGGGGCGGCGAGGACGCGGACGGGCCCCGGGGCCCCCGGGGTGGGTGGCGGGGACTGGGCGCCCCGCGGGCACGGGCGGACCGGGAGCCGGGGAGAAAGTGAACTTGAAATTGAAGCTCGAAGGGGTGGGGAGGCGGGGAGAGGCCGGCACTGCCCGGGACCGGGGGAGGGGCGGGGAGAGACCCCCGCGCCGGGCGGGGAGTCGGCCTCGGGGCTCCGGGCTGGGCGCTCGCCTCTGCGGGGTCCTAGAAATCCGAGGAGGGCCTTGGCCTGCGGGGGAGCTGCGGGCTGTGGCGAGGCGGCCTGGAGACCCGGGCGGGCTGGTCTGCAGGTGCGGCCTGGGTGGGCGCAGCCGGGGCCGGGCAGGCGGCGCCGCGGGGCCAAAACGCTGTCGAGGGGCTCAACTCCCGGCGCCGGACACGGCTTCCCAGACCTCGCTCTCCCCGGGTCTCTTCCTTGCGTCCAAAGCCCCGGAGGCCAAAACACAATAGTCGCGGTAATTGCAGCTGTTTGAGGGGGTCCGATCTGCTTCCCGGCACTGACAACTTGAGTTGAATGGACGGGTGACGATGCTGGGCCCCAGGGACACAGCCGAGCGCGGCAGTTTCCTCTCCGGAATCAAGCCCAGCGGGCCGTCCTCAAGTCGGCGCGCGGGAGCTGCGCCCTGGGCTCCAGCGGGAGCAGGGCTGGGAAGCGGGAGTGGCATTGAGGGAAGAAACCGGGGCTCCAGGTGTGAGGGAGGGATTAGGGGCGCCAGGCTGGGGAACTTGGAAGAGAATCCATTTCCATGGGGAACAGCAACGCAGACAGCGGCAGAATGGGGGAAAAAACAACCACCCAACACATGGACAGCTGGTTCCCGCGCTTGCTTGGGGCTAAATCATGGCCATTTCAACATGCCATCAGCCGTCTTCATCTGCAAAATGAGAATCACCTTGTCCCCCCTCAAGGAGTGTGCAGGATTACACGGCAGCCACTCAGTAGTGGCCTCCATGGGCTCCTTCTGCCTCAGGATTTTTTTTCCTTAAGGTTTTTTATTTGTGCATACAAGAGCTGGGGTACAGGCCGGAGATGGGGGAGTGTGTGACAGGATTCACCACAGACAGAGCGGGGAGCAGAACAGGCAGACTGACTGAAACACACTGCTGAGGGGAGCAGCGGGGAGACAGGAGAGGTCTGTGCCATGTGGGTTGTTCCCTGGCTGCGGGGGGGGGGGGGGGGGATTGAACTTGTGCTGCAGAGGCTGCAGATTGCTTCACAGTCCGGTGCTTAACCCCTTGCGCCACCAGGGAGGCCCCTGATATGCATCTCAGACCAGGTACCACCACGAGGCAGGATGGGGGGGTCCTGTGCTTACTCACCCTCGGTGTTCACCATATGCCTCACCTCCTGCTATGTAGCCACATCCTCTGACGATGTCCAACCCCCGGCCCCCAACCTTGCGGAGACTGAAGGTGTATACAAGGCCCTGATGACTTCCTGCAGATGGGCTCAGCCTCCATGCGAATCCGCGAAATACCAGCGCATTAAACCTGCTTGTTAGCCCTGATGTCCATGTTTCCTTTGTGCCGTGTAACCACGGGTCTCAGTGAGTTAGTCATTACTATCATTCCAGGTGAGCCCCTCCTCTGGAGACCAGGGCGAGCAGGAACCTTTTTCACCTTAGCTGGTTTTTTTTTAAAGGTTTATTTATTTATGCATACAAGCACTGGGGTGCAGGCCAGAGATGTGGGGGTGAGAGGACCCATCAGAGACAGAGCGGGGAGCAGAACAGGCGGATGGACTGAAGACACTGCTGAGGGGAGCAGCGGGGAGCCGGGAGAGGTCTGCTGCGCCCCGTGGGCAGCTCCCCGGTGGGGGATCGAACTCGTGCTGCAGAGGCTGCCGACAGCTTCACAGGTCAAGTCTTACCCCCTTGCGCCACCGGGACCCCCCCTTGGCTGTTCTGAATAAAGAGCGGATGGACTCTGCTAACTGGGCCTGGCGAGCCCGGCGGCGCGGAGACAGCGGCCTGGCCGCGCGCGGCGGGGCTTCGCCGGCGGGAAGGGGGAGGCGCCGGGAACAACCTGTGGGAGCGAAGGCTCCGCCTCGGGCCTGCCGCGGGCCCGGCCGCCGCGCCCGCGAGAGGACAGGCCGCCCCCTGGCGTCGGGTCCCGCGGCCTCCGCCGGAGCGGCCGAAGCCTTTTTGTTTCGCGCTTCGCCTGTTTCCCCTCAGGCCTCCGGCCCGGGGCGCTGCGCGGCTCCCCCGAGGAGCCAGAGCTGGGCCGGGCGGTTTCCGTCCGGAGCGCCGGCCTCCCCCGCTCGAGGCCCGGCCACGCGGGCGCCGCCGCCGGACGGGCGCGCAGGAGGGACCCGGCGCTCCGGCTCCCGGCCCGGCCGGCCCGGCCTCGGCCCCGCCCACTCCCCGTTTCCCCGGCAACCGGCCTCCCGCGGGGCCCCGCGCGGGGTTTCCAGGCAACCCCAGGCCCGCCTCCCCCCAGGTCCTGCCTGCGCGGTAGTGAGGGTCCGGCCTCGAGGGGCGCTGCGGGCCGGGGCGCGGGCGGGCGGGGGGCCGGCGGCGGCCCCGGGCGGGCGCGGGGTGTCCAGACCCGCCGGGCCCGGGGGCTCGCGCGGCCTCCGGCACAGGGTCCGCCGCGAGCTCAGGAAAAGGAACTGCGGACCCCGGAGGCCGCGGCCAAGGTTGGGGGCCGGGAACCCCGGGCCGCGGGGGCGCGCGGGCCCCAGCCGGGGGGCGCCCCAGCCGCGCGCCCGGCCCGTGCCCCCCCGCGCCGCCCCTGCGAGCGGGTCCGCGGGCTCCCGGCCCGGGTCCTCGCCCGTGTCCCCGAAAGGCCGTTTTAGGGCCCGTGGACTCCTTCCCTGGCGCCGCGGGCCGTTCCCCGGGGGGGCCGCGCCCCCAGAGCAGCCGAGGGGCGGGGGCGTCCCTCCCGGCCGGCCCGGCTCGCGGGGGGCTGCTCCGCGCCGCGGGGCTTCTGCGGGCCGCGCCGCCTGCTGGCCTCTCCCGCGAGCCCCGGAGCCCCCAGCGAGGATCTTCTCCCCCAGAGCCGCACCCCCGGCCCGCCCGGGCCCCGGAGGAGCTGGAGCTCGGGAGGGGGAGCAAAGCGGGAGCGCTGGGGTGGGTGGGAGGCGACCGGGGCGCCCAGAGGCGCTGGAGCGACACCCCCTTGCTGCTGGCGGCGCGGCGGCCCCGCGGGCGCTGGTCCCCGTTGGCCTCCCCCGCGGTGAGAAGGGAGGGTCCGGCCACGCCGGCCTCCCTGGGAATGCCGACCACGGGTGAGGCGCCGACCCAGAGGGGACAAAGCATGACCCACCGGGGCTGCCCCGCGCGAGGAGCTGTTGGGGAGCAGGGGAGAGCTGGAGGCCGGAAGGTTCAGAGGGAGTCCAGGGTCCAGTAGCCAGCACAGGCCGGTGCAGGTCAAGGTTGGGGTGGTGGGGGGTGTCATCACCGTGAAGGCGGGGCCATGTCTCACCCAACAGTCCCAGGGGCCGGCATGGACAGGCTTCACTACGTGGGTGGGTGGGGGATGCTTCCTTGGCCTCGTCTAGACCTCTCAGTCCCAGCGAACTAAACCCTGGGCCACCCTAGCATTGCCTCTTTCTTTCTTTTTTTAATTTATTCATGCGTACAAGAACTGGGGTACAGGCCAGAGGTGCGGGGGTGGTGGTGAGAGGATTCACCAGAGACAGAATGGGGAGCAGAACAGCAGACTGACTGAAATCCACTGCTGAGGGGAGCAGCGGGCGAGTCAGGAGAGGTCTGCTGCACCATGTGGGGAGCTCCCTGGCCGGGGATCAAACTCGTGGAGGCAGTGGCCGTGGAGGCAGTGGCTGCGGGTAGCTTCATAGGTTGCATCTTAACTCCTTGCACCACCAGGAAGGCCCTAGATACCACTTTTAATCTAAAATCTGACTACTCTTCTCCCGAGTTACACATTTCCAAGTCCTGGTGGGATGTCTCCACCAGAATGTCACTTGTGTGCCTCCTGCCTCCCAGACAGTACCTGGCACCTCAACTGCCCAGGTCTGAAAGTTCTGAGACATCCCGGACTCCTCCCATGTCCTCTCACCTTTCACAGGTAAAGATCCCTGGGTCCTTTGTCCTTGGGAATGTCACTGAGACTTCCTTCCTGTAGGGTAAGGAAAATGTCAGGCTTTTCTGCCCTCCCGCCATCAGGATGGATGATGGATCCCCGGGGCAGTTGGAACAGGCCCTGTATGAAAGAGAAGAAACC